GTGCCGGAAGCAGGAAAGCCTAATCCTTCATATGCATCAGTAAAGCAGGGACCTGCTGAGCCCTATATGCAATTTATTGACAGATTGACAGAGGCTATCGAAAAGAATATTGATCTGGCATCTAATGCTAAAGAATCGATGCTTATGTCTCTGGCTATGGAAAATGCTAACCCAGCTTGTAAGCGTATTTTGCAGGTTTTGCCAAAATCTGCTGGTCTTCAAGAAATGATGGATGCATGTTCTAAAGTGGGCACAGCAGAGGAAAAGGCTGGATACATGGCTACTGCCTTCGCCACTGCTGTTAAACCCCTTCTACAACAAGGTCAGGGTGATCGTGGGGATCCTAAAGGTATGAGATGTTATAGTTGTGGACGGATGGGACATTTTAAAAAGCAGTGTACTGGGTATTGGGCATACTGTGACTCATATAATACACTCTCTCTGTGATACTCATGAACTAGAAGTCGGTAAATATAAGTATGTCCAGGTTTCTATCGACCTTTGGAGACCTTTATAGATATTGCTGGCCACTTCTTCCAGCACAGGCTGGCCACCTGTGTGGGAATGAGTGTGCATTTTGGTCAGTATAAAAGCCCAAGCCTCATGCGATGTGGGGGAGGCAGAGCCTCTGTGGGGACGCCCGCTAAGGTTGAGCCTGCCACCTCACACTGCAATGATGCTTCTCGGAGCTGTTTTCCTGTTAGTCTCCACAGGGTCCTTGTGCCACGTTCTGTACGTGGGACTGTAATGGGAGTGATGATAGTCTGGATTTTGTGCTTCAAATATTGTAGTTGTGTGGAGCGTGCTTGTGGGATCCCACAAGTGTGTGTGTGCGTGTGTTGAGGGCAGATGGTGTTCTGTGTGGTTTTTTTGGTGTTTGGTTCATGTAAAAGTTTTTAATTGGGAGCAGTTTAATATTTCGGGCATGAAAGGGTTAATGTAAAGGTGTGGTTGCCAGCAGGTATTTATGGTTGCTGCTGAAGCAGGCAGGCAGCTGTAACTGCTGCCAAGCCCGCCGGCGTTTGTAGGGTGAGCGACTTTGGATCAGAAAAACAAAACCAAAGGCAATGATGCAGCAAACTCCTCGCCGGTTAACAACGTGCAGTTTAACCTGTCTGCTTCTCAAGAACGGATAACCTGGGGGAGAGGGTATATTTGTGTCCTCCTGCCTACAGGTCCACGGCGACTGCCTGCAAAGTTTGTCAAGCCTTGCCATGAGCTGGACAGACGAATGGAAAAACCTGATGCCTCAGCTACAGGAGCTGACCGTGAATACCCCAAGCAGAATGAGATAGAGGAAGAGAAAAGCAAATGACTGCAAAACATCACTTGGAGGCAACTGAAAAGTAACATCCTGAATATGTGTGCTTGTAAAGTAGCTATTATTAGAGGTTGTGATTTTGTGTATAAAACCACCTGTATTTACTAGCTAGTTGCTAATAAGAAACCGCACCTTGTATTGTACAGATTTGTCACTTGTAAGAGATGTTAGCATATGGAAATTTGCAGTAGCTGCTAGAAAATGCTAAGGCAAAAGCTAGAAAGACTTTAATACAATGGTAGTGTTATAAAGCAGGTGATGGAACAAATTAAGAGGGTGGGAGAATTCCAGTGGTAAGAAATTTCTTTGGCTAGTCCCTCGCTGCCATCAGCATCTTCAACATGCTGCTGCACCCTGTAATAGTTACTGTGCTAATGTAAATGTGTGTGTGCCTTGCTGTAGTAGCGACTTGGTACTGGATGAAGCAGGTGAAACTCTGCATTGACAACAAAGTGCAAGGACTGAGGCTAACAAAAGGCCTGCTACCACAATCAAGGGCAAGACTGGGTTGGCCTCTGTGTTTGCCAGCAAGAAGAACCTTTAGCTCCACTGTTGGCTGCAACCCAGCAGGCGTGGAGCGGTGGGGACACATGCCATGCCAGACCTTGATGTGAAGGATGGCCTCCCCTCTTGTCAGAGGGCCATACAGGAGAAAAAAGGGGCAGGCCCAGCAGCCTGTAGTTGGCATATGTTGGAGATACGATCTAGGCCAAATCCCCTGCTCAAGTAGGGTCATCCAAAACATATATAAAACAAAAAGGGGGAGATGGGGAGGCAGTGTTCTCACAGGAGAGTGGATAATTGGTACATAAACTCTGAATAATCCTGAAAGATACAGGAAGGCCGTGAGAGGCCCAAGGAAGCTTAAGCAAGCAAGATAAGAAGAAGCTGGAATTCACTGAGGTAATGAGAACTGTGGACTGTTGGCAAGCTTTTGAGGTCAAGTTCCCACACCTGTGCTTAACCAATTATATGCTAGTTGCAAAGGGTCTTCAAGACATGTATCCAATCATAATATCCCAAATCACTGCAAGTGCATGTAAGAAATAGTATTTAAGGGGTTAAGGCTTTGTAATAAACGGCTTTTTGTCTGATCATATTGATCTCTGACTGAGTCCATATATTTTCTGTGGCATGTAGGACACTTGTGATGCTTTCCTTTGCTTTGCTTGCCCAGAGGAACAATCCTGCTGTGCCCCTGTGCAGGCAGGACTCTACGGCAGCCAGGCTGGGAGCTGGTGCACAGGAGCTGCATCATCCAGCTGCCAGCTGCAGTGGAGACGTTGGATGTGAGGAGAAGTGCTGCAAGTCCCAGGTGGACGATGAAAGCAATGTTGGATGGGGAGGTGAGGAGTGAGGTGCTCAGTGCCACGCTGGACCTTAAGGGTTGCTTTTCCTGCCTGTGCAGTCCTCTGGAATAGGCACTCGGGATCAGCGGCAAAGGAATAGAAATTTCTAAAATATAAAGTGATAAAATAAACCCTTTCAAATAACTTTTATCAGATGCTCTTTGTAATCTTCCTGAACGTGGACACCTCCTCAACTAACTGCAAGACAATCTGGAAGACTTGACAAAATCCACAGGGTGAGACAAGGCTCATCAGGGTTCAATGAGCCCCATGGTGTATTTGGGCTGAGTCCATGAACCTCAGATGCTGAGAGGAGACTGAAGAAAACTCTCAAGAAGTCCAAGTCAGAAACAAAGCCCCAACTCCCTTCAGCATTAATGGGCCCCACTGAGGCCTGTAAATGACAAAGTCTCCCCAGGGACTCGTTAAAGCAAGTAACTGGAGGCTGTGATTACAGATAGACAAAGGCAAAATGCAGGTGTCTGATGGTGAGAAAACCATTGTTGGATGAAGCAGAAAGGCCAAGCTCTGACCACAGCCCTTGGAGATGTAGCGCCTGAAATCCTGAGAATGGAAGTTCTCCTCACAGGCCTTGATGAAAGAGGCAACTGCCATAGCCCAGGGCACAGAGGCCTTTTGTTCTTTTGGGCCTTTCAGCCTTGCCACAACCCTCAGTCATCTCTGCTGCAGGCTGTCCTTCACTGGCCCATGCCTGCACCTCTTTCCCTTCAGGCTGTTGACACCCATCTTGCTTTCCCACCTAGATCTCACCTGGCATTTCTGTACCTTCAGTCATATCTCTGTACTCATCCCTGTCCGGTCCTTGAAACAGAAATCATGGGCTGAGTCAGATTCCCTCTGGGTTTCCTCTTGCACCACAAGTCCACCTTTTCAGAGACATTTCTCTTTCCTAACTTTGAGTCTGAACCTTCCAGGCTGCACTTTGAAGAGGTTTCCTTCTCTTCCCACTAGCAAGAAGATCTCCATCATCTCTGAAGCCACATTTCAGGAAGTTGTAAGCTGCTACTCTAGTGTCAATTCAGCAGGTGGGATGAATATCCCTCTGCAAGGCCATCTAAAGGAGGCTTCTAGAGGAATGGGTGATGCCATCAGTATAGAGAACTAAGCACCATGGGAGAGCAGTGGGAAAAGCCAGTGGTTTGGATTGAGAACTTCTTGGCAAGAGCCAAAAGGAATGTTGGTGTCCCTGGATGCGAGGTATCCCATGCTCTGGGGACAGGTCACCTCATTTAGGACAGCTTCCTGCCTGTAGCACCCCCTCTGCTGCGCACGCCCCCTCTCTGCCCACACTCACAAGTGTCTCACAGAAGCTTTGCACTTCCCTTGCAGCAACGACACCTCACTCCAGGAGGTTCCTGCACTCTCCACACTCAGGGATGGATCCTGCATTCCAGGCAAGTTTGGGTAGTGCAGGAGAGGGAGACAGGAAGGTGGGCTCATGGGGCATGATGAGCAGTGTTCAGGCACTCCCAGCAGTGGGCATTCCCCACGTGCCACGCTGAGGCATGTTCCCATGAGGGAAACTTCAGATGGACTCTGGTTTGTCCAGGGCCTGCAGCCACACTCCAGGAAGACCTCCTCCTCCTCCACCCACAGACACCAATTGCTCTTCATTGATGGGTTCCGTCCTGCTTGCAAGGATTTGTTAAAGCGCTGAACCATCACCTTGCTTCTTGCTGACTTCACTCTCTCTCACCTTCCTACACACTGCTCCTTGCCACCAGTAACTAACTGAAGAGGTAAGAAGCACTCAAGGCTTTCCTCAGGGGGTGACCATGTTTCGCCACTCATCATTGATGGATGCATTGAGTGCCAGGTGTGAGGTTCCTACACAGGCAGAGATGTCCCTGGGTAGAGCCCTGCTGTCCTCTCATGCTGCTGTCCTCCCTTGCTGCCAGGGCACACGCTGCCTCCGGTCCAGCTCCTGCCCGCCCAAACCTTTCCCATGGGCTGCTCCCAGTCAGGCAGCACCAGCCTATGCCATTGCAGGGGAGTCCCCTGCTCTCCTGCCCAGGACACCTTGAGAGCTCTGAAGCCCCCCCATGCCATCCCATCTCCCCACACCAGCACAACAGCCCCAGCCCTTGGGCTCCTCAAGAGTTCATCCTGCTCCAGGCAAGGAGCAGCCATCCCAGAGCTGGAGCAGCCAGAAAGCTGATGTCATTCCCCTTCATTCCTGCTATGTGAGCATATATCACAGAGAAGAAATTGCTGCAGGATCATTTATTTCCCTTAGATACAATGAGAGACCCACGGTGACACACACTCACACAACACGAGTGTCTACTAAAGGAGAAGAAGAAGAAAATTGACATTTCAATGAAGACAACATCACCATAAATTGAAACAGGATAACAAATATAAAGCAGGAAAGACAGACATGGCCTGTCATGACCGACACTGGGAGCCCTTTTTAGAGGAAAGCAGGCAGTGTATGGCTGCTGAAACACCTGCAGTCACCAGCTTCCTCACAGTATCCTTGAGCTCCTGGTTCCTCAAGCTGTAGATGAGGGGATTCACTGCTGGAGGCACCACTGAGTACTGCACTGACACCACCAGATCCAGAGATGGGAAGGAGATGGAGGGGGGCTTCAGGTAGGCAAAGGTACTAGTGCTGACAAGAAGGAAGAGAACAGCCAAGTGAGGGACACACGTGGAAAAGGCTTTCTGGCGTCCCTGCTCAGAGGGGAGCCTAAGCACGGCCCTGAAGATCTGCACATAGGACCCCACAATGAAAACAAAACATCCAAACCCTACAAAGCAACTTAGCACAAGCAGCCCAACTTCCCTGAGGTAGGAATGTGAGCAGGAGAGCTTGAGGATCTGGGGGATTTCACAGAAGAACTGCTCCACAGCATTGCCTCGGCAGAGGGGCAGTGAAAATGTATTGGCTGTGTGCAGCAGAGCACTGAGAAACCCAGTGCCCCAGGCAGCTGCTGCCATGTGGACACAAGCTCTGCTGCCCAGGAGGGTCCCGTAGTGCAGGGGCTTGCAGATGGCCACGTAGCGGTCGTAGGACATGGCAGTGAGAAGATAAAACTCAGCTAAGACAAAAAAGATAAAGAAAAAGAGCTGTGCAGCACAACCTGTGTAGGAGATGGCCCTGGTGTCCCAGAGGGAATTGGCCATGGATTTGGGGACAGTGGTGGAGATGCAGCCCAGGTCCAGCAGGGAGAGGTTGAGGAGGAAGAAGTACCTGGGGGTGTGGAGGTGCTGGTCGCAGGCTGTGCTGGTGATGATGAGGCCGTTGCCCAGGAGCGCAGCCAGGGAGATGCCCAGGAAGAGCCAGAAGTGGCAGAGCTGCAGCTCCCGTGTGTCTGCAAATGGCAGGAGGAGGAATTGGGTGATGGAGCTGCTGTTGGACATCTGCTGCCTCTGGGCATGGGGCACTGTCAGAGGAGAAAGAGGCAGTGACAGGTTAGGACAGGAGGGATGCCAGATAGATTTCAGTTTACACACTCACAACTCTGAACAATTTCAGGCTGCAGATGAGAGGCTGAGCATGACTTGGTCATGATTGTCTCTGAGGTTGGTTGCTTTGTTTGTTTTCCCAGTGACACAGCTGACAAGTGACTTTTTTAGGGGTAAAACTCCAAAGGTTTTGAAGGCAACTGTGAAGAGTCTTAGCATGGGACAGACAAGATGGCTCAACTGTCTGTGGGTTAGTGCCTACTGAAGGTTGCTGCAGAGTCCATGAGTCTGGTTCTCAGTTGCCCTGCACTTTCTAGCGAGACAGTCAGCTCCTTGCCCTGCAGAGCATGGCCAGCAGCCACCTCCAGTGCCAGACACCAAGAGAGCTGCCTGAACGCACCCTCCCCAGGGCTGGGCTGCACTGTGCCCCCACTCCCTGCCCATGTCTCTGCTGCCTGGAGCTGTCCCTGCTAGGAGTTGCTGCTCTGTGCCCAGCTCTGCTCCCTCTCAGTGCTCTGAGAGCCCATACCATGGGCTGTGTGCTCAGCTCTGCCCTGCACACCCCTCCCGGCAGCAGGGTTCTGCCCAGGAGCATCTCTGCCTGTGCAGGGGCTCAGGAGCAGCTCAGACAGTTCCTGACAAGACTCTCGGTGCCTTCTTCAAAGCAGAGAAATTCCCAGCTCCCACTGCCCAACCTGCCCACCAAGAGTGAAAAACATCACAGACCAGTATCGTCCTTCAAGGACAAACGCTCCCTTAGTGTCTTTCAAAAGGACTCTGCAAACATACTCAGAGTGATGTGGAGCTCTGAGCAGCCCTGACCCACACATCACCCTCTCCAGTGCACAAGAACACTTTTTCTTCCCCCCACAGCTTCCTCCCCAGCACCGTGGGGAGCTCCCGGGCAGGCTGAGTGCTGACCCTGGCAGGCAGCAGAGTCCCTGCCCCGGCCCACAGCCCCTGGGCTGCAGGGACCCTGCTCACAAGGGCAGCGCTGGGCATCCCTGGCTGCAAACCCACATCCACACCCTGCAGCCAGCCCCGGGACAAAGGACCTGCCTTGTCCTGTCCCTCCCATGGTGCACAGGGAAGCCCTGCTCTGCAGCACATCCTCCTCCTTATCTACACAGAGAAACCAAGAGAGTCCTCCTGACAGATCCCGTGGTCTGTGCAAGGCAGCAGCTTGAGGAGATCCCTCCAGGAGCTGCAGCTGCATTGCCCTGCACCCAGAGCCTTACCGTGCACAGGGCTGGGAAGGTTTCTCCTGCAGGGAGCTCTCGGCATCCTCCACTGCCAAGTGCCTTTAAGCTCTCTGAGGCTCTCAGGTCTCCCCTGGGCGCCTGCAGGCAGTGCCCCAGCCCTACTCCTGGGCAGAGAGGTCTCTCTGCAGCTCTGCCCACTTGCCAGCATCTGTGTGTGTCCCAGGAGCCCAGCCCTGCTCAGCAGCAGAGGCCCAGCCCAAAGTGGCTCTGCCTCTGCCCCTCTGGGCTCCCTCCAGGACTCCCTTGGGCTCCAGGAGACACCATGGGAAACAGCCTGAAGCTAGCACTGATGTTCCCTCCCTCAGCTGGCAGACACACTGCCTTCCTGCAGTGCCATTTCTCTGATGAGAGACAGAGTTACGGCTAAAAACCCCCTTGTCCTGTCCCTATGAGCCCTTGTCCAAAGCCTCTCTCCAGATTTCTTGTAGGCACTGTTTAGGTATGGGCTTAGTAAGGCTCCCTGGAGCCTCCTCTTCTCCAGGCTGAACACACGCAGCTCAAATACAACGGCAGAGCGCCACTGACACAAAGTCTGTGGGTCAGACAAGTTGCATGGATACTGAAGTAGCAGGGGATGAAAAATGACATGTCGTTGAAGACAGCAACATCACAAGTGGAAAAAAAAAACAGCTGTAAAGCAGCAAAGACAGATGTGGCCTGTCATGACCTACACTTGGAGCCCTTTGCAGAGGACAGCAGGCAGAGTATGGCTGCTGAAACACATCCAGTCACCAGCTGACTCAGAGCATTCCTGGGCTCCAGGGGAACACCATGGGAAACAGCCTGAAGCAAGCACGGATGCTCCCTCCCTCAGCTGGCAGACACACTGCCTTCCTGCACTGTCATTTCTCTGACGAGACAGAGTTTGGTCTGAACAACAAGATTTTGTAGAATCATGGAATCATTTAGGTTGGAAAAGACCTTTAAGAGCATCTAGTCCACCATAAACGGAGCACTGGCAACTCAGCACTTTAACCATGTGCCTTAGAACATGTGTTTTGAATACCTCTGGGGTGGTGACAAAACCACTTCTGCGGGCAGCCTGTTTCTTGTCCCATCATCAGACAGGACAGCCAGGTGAGGACAGGCTGGGATCTCCTTTGCCCCTGCTGAAGGAAGGGATTCAGCCTCGTTAGTACAGGCATCTGATCCTGGGATTGAAGCCCTGGGGCTGGAAGGGAACTCAGTATGGGAGGAATTTGGGGGATTGGAGGGATTTGGGCGTTCAAGGAACATTTGGGGGTTCTGGCTGTGTGTGGGGGGGTGGTCCCCAAAACTTGCTGTAGGAGGCACATTATATTGGGGAATCTCCCATGTGCCAAAAACAGGGGTTACCTGGGTAACAGAGCATCCTAAGTCGCTCTTGGGTGAGCAATGTTCCCTCAGGGTGGAGATGTGTTGAGAAGAAGAGTTTTGGGGTTCAGAGGCAATGTAGGCATTGGTGGACATCCCCAAAACTCCCCAGGGTGGTGCAGGGATTTGGGGAACACCCAGTGCCCCAAAACTAGGGGTTACATTTGTCCCACTGCACCCTCACTCTTCAGTGCCCCTGTTGGCCCCTGGCAGTAAATGTGGGGGATTTGGGGTTCAGAAGGGAACTGGAGGTTTGGGGAGATTTGGAGGTTCATGGGAATGTGCCCAAGCTCTGCAGGGGGCAGAGTAATATAAGGGACCAGTGGAGCCCTCAAACAAGGGCTACAGCCACCAGAGACCACTCCACAGATCACTGGGGAGGAAGAAATGGAGATACGTTGGGACCCTGACAGGTTTTGGCGATGCAGCTGGGGGATTCCCCATAAATCTTACCTGTGAGGATGCAGCCTCCTGAGGAAGCGGATACACTAAAACAGGATTGCAAAGTCAAGGAACACGGACCTGGATGCACAGGGCAGCCAGGGGAGATGCAGCCTCCTGAGGAAGGGGTCTCCTCTGCACTGGTTACTGCAGGGCTCTCGCTCCTTAAATAGCCCAAGCTCACCATAGGGGCCCTGTCATTATGGGCATCTCCTCAGCGACTGCCACAGCTTTGTGATGGCAGCAGCATTGTGCCCATAGCCACTGGGCACCCAGGGTTTGGGACTGGGTGGACTTTAAGGTCCCTTCCACCTCAAACCAAGCTGTGACTGCGTGACTGCAAAACACGATCCCCATTTGGCTGCAGAAGAGCTCTCAGCACTGGGTCAGGCCCAGTATCAGGTGCACACATTTGTGCAGAACATCCTGTCTTTGCTGCTGGCCTTTTCAGAGGCCCCTGCAGCCCCCTGAGGGCAGGTCAGGCCTGAAGAACAGCCACGATCGAGGGCAGCACTGCCACCTCCTCTGAAGGAAGTCCAAGGCTGAGGCTCTGCAGTCACTCCTTTCCCCAGCTCCACCCTTGGCTTTCAGCCCCACAGCAGAGCCCTTCTGCAGCTGCTTCTCAGCTCTTCTTCACTGGCAGCTTCCCAAGGCAGTTGTGCCTCTGCCAGAGCCAGAGCAACGGCCCAGCCCGTGCTGTGCTGTGTGAGGCCCTCCGATGGCACCATCAAGTGAGTGCAGGGCGCAGCAGTGCTGGCAGGAGCAGAGCTGTGGGGCCTGACCCTGCCCCCGGGCCAGACGCGGGTGAGTTCCAGCACTTGGTGTTTCTTGGCAGGAACCTTCGAAGCCAGGATCAAACCAGATATGAGCAGGATCGAGCCAGAATTGAATGGGGATGGAGCCGAGGTCAGAGCGGGATGGAGCCAGGATGGGATCGAGATGGAGCAGGATGGATCCAGGATCGAACCAGGGTTGAGTGGGATGTAGCCCAAAGGAGCTGGTCAGGAGCAGGATGAGCAGGGCTGTGGGTTATGATTGAGTGGAAAGGGCAGTGCTGTGAGATGGGATCGAGCCAGGGGACAGGGTGTCGGGAGCAGGGATGCAGTGAGTTCATCAGGGTGGTGGAACAGGATGGAGTAGGGTGGGCAGGGATGCAGTGGGGTGAGTTGGACTGGGCTGTGCCAGGAGCACGGGAAGCCGGGCCTGACCCTGCAGGGGAAGTGCAGGCAGGGATGGAGCCCATGCTGGGGCAGGGGCTGGGCATGCTGGGGATGGTGGCAGGACCTGCCAGTGGATACACCCACTTGCATTGGATGTGAGTCACCAACAGATCCACAGGTGCATCCCCAAACCAGCATCTGCATAAAGGTAATTTAGAATAAACCTAACAAAAGAGCAAATTACCACTGCTTTAACCTGGCAGAGGGGAGAGTGAGACCTCAGGAGGAAGCTCTTCTCTGTGAGGGTGCTGAGGTGCTGGCAGAGGCTGCCCAGAGAAGCTGTGGCTGCCCCATCCCTGTCAGTGTTCAACATAGAGCTGAAAATTACCTGCCTGTTTCCCTGGTACATGGTTGAGTGGATCTGGAGATCTGACTCTACAGATCCAACACCAAAAGGAACTGCTCACCTTCATGTGCAGTAGACACACAGATCACTTGCTGTGTTGTGTGCACTTATCAGTTATTGAGGAAAGTATCCATGAGCTGGGAAAGGAAAGAGCACAGGAGGGAATTTTGTAGGGCAAATTCAGCAGGGGCAAAGGAGATCCCAGCCTGTCCTCACCTGGCTGTCCTGTCTGATGATGGGACAAGAAACAGGCTGCCCGCAGAAGTGGTTTTGTCACCACCCCAGAGGTATTCAAAACACATGTTCTAAGGCACATGGTTAAAGTGCTGAGTTGCCAGTGCTCCGTTTATGGTGGACTAGATGCTCTTAAAGGTCTTTTCCAACCTAAATGATTCCACGATTCTACAAAATCTTGTTGTTCAGACCAAACTCTGTCCCTACTTGAGCAGGGGATTTGGCCTAGATCGTATCTCCAACATATGCCAACTACAGGCTGCTGGGCCTGCCCCTTTTTTCTCCTGTATGGCCCTCTGACAAGAGGGGAGGCCATCCTTCACATCAAGGTCTGGCATGGCATGTGTCCCCACCGCTCCACGCCTGCTGGGTTGCAGCCAACAGTGGAGCTAAAGGTTCTTCTTGCTGGCAAACACAGAGGCCAACCCAGTCTTGCCCTTGATTGTGGTAGCAGGCCTTTTGTTAGCCTCAGTCCTTGCACTTTGTTGTCAATGCAGAGTTTCACCTGCTTCATCCAGTACCAAGTCGCTACTACAGCAAGGCACACACACATTTACATTAGCACAGTAACTATTACAGGGTGCAGCAGCATGTTGAAGATGCTGATGGCAGCGAGGGACTAGCCAAAGAAATTTCTTACCACTGGAATTCTCCCACCCTCTTAATTTGTTCCATCACCTGCTTTATAACACTACCATTGTATTAAAGTCTTTCTAGCTTTTGCCTTAGCATTTTCTAGCAGCTACTGTAAATTTCCATATGCTAACATCTCTTACAAGTGACAAATCTGTACAATACAAGGTGCGGTTTCTTATTAGCAACTAGCTAGTAAATACAGGTGGTTTTATACACAAAATCACAACCTCTAATAATAGCTACTTTACAAGCACACATATTCAGGATGTTACTTTTCAGTTGCCTCCAAGTGATGTTTTGCAGTCATTTGCTTTTCTCTTCCTCTATCTCATTCTGCTTGGGGTATTCACGGTCAGCTCCTGTAGCTGAGGCATCAGGTTTTTCCATTCGTCTGTCCAGCTCATGGCAAGGCTTGACAAACTTTGCAGGCAGTCGCCATGGACCTGTAGGCAGAAGGACACAAATATACCCCCTCCCCCAGGTTATCAGTTCTTGAGAAGCAGACAGGTTAAACTGCACATTGTTAACTGTCGAGAAGTTTGCTGCATCATTGCTCTTTTCTTCTTTTTTTTTTTTTTTTTTTAATCCCTGCAAAAGCTGGCCTGCTTGGCAGCAGCTACAGCCACCTGCCTGCTTCAGCAGCAACCATAAATACCTGCTGGCAGCCGCACTTTTACATTAACTCTTTCATGCCCGAAATGTTAAAAGCTACTCGTTAAAAACTTTTACATGAACCCAACAATACATAAAACACCGATTGCCCTCAATACACACACACACATGTGGGATCCCAGAAGCACACTCCACACAACTACAGTATTTGAAGCACAAAATCCAGACAATCATTACTCCCACTACAGTCCCACGTACAGAACGTGGCACAAGGGCCCTGTGGAGACTAACAGCAAGCCAGCTCCGAGAAGCATCATTGCAGTGCGAGGTGGCAGGCTCATTCTTAGTGGGCGTCCCCACAGAGGCTCTGCCTCCCCCACAGCGCATGAGGCTTGGGCTTTTATACTGACCAAAATGCACACTCATTCCGACACAGGTGGCCAGCCTGTGCTGAAAGAAGTGACCAGCAATATCTATAAAGGTCTCCAAAGGTCGATAGAAACCTGGACATACTTATTTTTACCAATTTCTAGTTCATAAGTATCACAGAGAGACTGTATTAAATGAGTCACAGTATGCCCAACACCCCTGATAAGAACATATGTAAGATCTTCCCACCACCGAAAACACACACAATACCCCTGTATCCCATGTTTGTCTCGCTATAGGTTTGGGTGGGTGGGTGGGGGGTGGTGGATGGTTTGTTTTGGGTTGTTTGTTTGTTGTTTTTTTTTGTTTGTTTGGTTTTTTCTTTTTTTTTTTTTTTACTTTAACGTAAAATTGTTTGCTCTCTTCACTATAAGAAGGACTGAAAAACATCCATAAAACAGAAGTCCTAAGCTGACATTTCAATTAATTCAGTCACTGACAAGGGGGTTGTCCTGGGGTGGTGCTGGCTCTTTCCAGGGTTTCACCCATTGAGCTGGCACCCACCACAGACCGGAATCTGTAATTACACACATATAACCTTGAACAGTTAATTTTACTTTCACAGGACTTTTCCAAATGCTGGTTTCCAAATCCTTGTACTGGGCCAAAATACCCAGAGTTTTAGTCATATAACCTGAACCAAATGCCTGACCATGTATTATAGCAGGGGGGTCATTAAAGTCTCCTGTCAATTGCACAAAATTCATAACATATACAGCTTTCTGTATCCTTGCTACTGGTGTACATCCTTCTTCCCCCGTTTTTTTGTTTTTCCAACAGTTGTTTCAAAGTTTGATGTGTTTGTTCAATAATAGTTTGTCCTATAGTACCCCCACGATCACCCTGACCTTGTTGTAGAAGGGGTTTAACAGCAGCAGCGAAGGCAGTAGCCATGTATCCAGCCTTTTCCTCTGCTGTGCCCACTTTAGAACATGCATCCATCATATCCTGAAGACCAGCAGATTCTGGCAAAACCTGCAAAATACGCTTACAATCTGGGTTAGCATTTTCCATAGCCAGAGACATAAGCATGGATTCTTTAGCATTAGATGCCAGATAAATATTCTTTTTGATAGCCTCTGTCAATAAATTGCATATATGGCTCAGTAGGTCCCTGTTTTACTGATGTATATGAAGGATTAGGCTTTCCTGCTTCCGGCACAGCTTTCAGAGCAGCTAAAGCCAATTGCTGTGCTTGCTGTAAAACTTCAATTTTCATACAAGCTTGTACTCCATCAGGGTGAAATTGTCCCTTTCCCAATAACATTTCAGATGAAACACTGTGCAAAGGGCGATGAGGATTACACTCTGAATTCTCATCTGCAGCCCTTGCAGCAAGCTCCTCAAACCCACTTTTAAAATGTAGGAGCTGTGAAGGAGTTAATAAAATTGCAGCCACTCTGAGACAATCATTTGGAGTCAGAACATTACTAGAAAAGAAAGCAGAGAACATTTGCTGTGTATATGAGGAAGACAACCCATACTGAGTAATTGCTCCCTTAATTTCTTTCATAGCTTTCCAGGCCATAGGAGTCCAGACAGACTGTCCCTGAGAATTTATAATAACAGGGAATGCAGCGGGAACATCTATCGGTAAAATAGTACCGCCTATGATTGCATCCTGAATGCAGCCTCGCCATCTCATGGCACTCGGATTGGCTTTATTAGATGTAGGAGTCGGTGGTAACGGCACATCACACGGACTGATCTTATCTGGGTTTTCTGTTTTTTCCCGTT